TAAAGTTGAAGAAAAACAATTTTCGAGTTTATTATTTAGAAATATCTCCAAAATTTAATCAAATTAAATTATGGAACATATCAAAATATGAAATATTTTCTTAAGGTGATTGATACTTGAAAGGTGATTTTGAACCTCAAACAGAATTTGAATAGTTCCTCTTTGGAAAAAGTGTGAATGAATCCAAAAATCAAATGTAATGTCATGATGGTTACATTCACCTGTAACGTGACATTTATCATTTTCATTCATTCCACACCCTCCTGGAAATTTCTCCTAATGCAAATGTCTATATATACTGTAAAAAGCTTTTTTCTTTTTCCCAAACACACACACACAAAAGAAAAAAGCATTTCATCAAGACCTTTATATTTTCGGCGCAACATTGATCGCGCAATGGGGAGAACACACCTTGCTTTTGTTTTGACAAATTGTCTAATGATGATTACTTATTTCGGCTTGTCCATGAAAGAAACTGATATCGAAACTGATCAATCAGCCCTTCTAGCCTTCAAAAACCACATTATGTCAGATCCTCACCAATTCTTGTTTGCGATTGGATTGGGGTCCGGTGTGGCCTCCGACACCACAGAGTCACTGCTTTAAATATTTCAGCCATGAATCTTACAGGCACTATTCCTCCTCATTTTGGTAACCTCTCTTTTCTTGTTTCTCTTGACATGCAAATAATTATTTCCATGGAACTCTTCCTCCCGAAATGTAGGGTTTACGCAGAATCAGATTTGTTAGGTTAGGGTTCAATAACTTCAATGGAACATTTCCTACTTTTTTTGGACCAAAGCTTCAAGTCTTAACTTTACATTACAACAATTTTGGAGGGATGATTCCTTAAACCATTTCTAATCTTTCAAATTTAGAACTCACTGGTTTTGGAAGGCAATTCCTTCACAGGAACGATTCCTGGAGAAATGAGAAATCTCCAGAGATTGATAGACCTGAATCTGCAACACAATTATGTTGGTGTAAGAAAATCAATCCTAATGCAGCGGAATAAACACATACCGATTTCATGCCAAGATCATTTTGTAATCCATGAATAATATAAACAGTTTATAATTGTGTACCTTTAACAGCTAATCCAGCAGCCACGATCAATACACGGTGAAACTTGATCACAAAGCTGTTCAAGTGTCTAGCCTCAAACGGTATCCACACGAACAATTCTTGCAATACAGACACAAGACATAACGGCTAGTTCTCTGGATTATAATCTAGGGTTTATGGAACCGACTGATTAATTCTAGAACTTATGTTTGTGACTTATTTATATAAGACTATAGGTCTCGGTAATTATCATAAATCCCATATCTTATTTATTTAATAAGTTTTTGAGATTAATTTATCATATATATAATCCATAACTTATCCCAATTAATTGTCCTATTGTGTGTGACCCTTTAGGTTCTTAAAACACATTGGCAATAAATATAAATATTAATCTTAGTATTAATTGACTTTTGGATATAAAACCAATAGTTGGTCCCATACCTTCATCCATCTTCAATATCTCAACTCTGGAGACAGTTGGTTTTACGTATAATAACTTGACTGGAACTCTTCCTGATGATATTTGTTGCCATCTTCCAAATCTCAGAGGGATTTACGCATCCAACAATCAGTTGGGTGGTCGAATCCCTCCAAGTTTATCTGGTTGTTCGCAACTTTAGATGCTATCGTTGTCATTCAACAGTTTCAATGGATTCATACCCAAAGAACTTGGGAACTTAAAGATACTAGAAGGATTATTCTTTGGATTCAACAATTTAGAAGGTAAGGTGTTGTTTATTAATCTTGTTATCATAATGCAATAATATTTATTCTCTCTGTCCCAAAATTAAAATCTAGTTTGATAATAATACTAGTTTGTACTAAGTTTGCTTTTAGTACAAATTTCAACTAATAATAAAAATTCAAATTGGACAATAATTTCGAGAGAGAGCGAGTATAACTTTCTTTCTCCATTCACTATAAAGTGATAAATGATTTTTTATAACATTTATAACTCCTCAAAAAATTAATCATACGTGCAATCCCCCGAGAGATCGGCAATCTTTATAACTTGCAGGGGTTTCATATTGACACCAACAATATTTCGGGCTCCATTCCGAAAGAAATGGGAAATTTGACGGGACTTACTCTACTTAATGTGGGCCCGAACTTTCTAGGAGGTACGACTCACTATTTCATAAAAGATCTAAACACATTTGATAGAGCTTTTGACATTTGTTCTATTGTGCATCCAACGCTCTCTAACCGCTCACCACTTTTTTTTTTTTTTCCTTTTTCTCTTTTTTTAATTTTTTTTTAACTTTTAGTATTATTTTTTAATTATTTTTCTTTCTCTTTTTAACTTTTTAAACTTATTTGAATTTTCCTTTAATCTAAAAACAAATAGAAAATGTATTCGGTTTTGGCTTGTATACAAAAATATAATTTTTTTTCAACTGTAATTTCTGACCAAACATGTGTAAGCAGAATTCCTATCAATGCGGTTGATGATAGCTCGCCTATCATCTCTGTAACTAATCTAAGAAAATCTTTTTTTTTTGTATACTATCAGAGCGAATATTTTAGGTAAGACATGTGTAAGGAGCGGCTGAGATTGCGTTTAAAAAATACTTTATATTTTTCTAAAGAGAAGGATAAGGCTAAAAAAATTTAAAAAATAGAAAAGGGAAAATATAAATTATAAAAATATAATTTCGGCCTTTTGGAAACTTATAACTTGATGTCTTTTAAAAAATATCCAAGTCTAACAAACCATCTACTTTAGATGATGTAAAGATGATTTGTTAATTCTGACAAGTTTTAGAATAATAGACAAAATTTTCATATAGAAGAATTTTCTCAAACCATAATAACACAAATAACCCCCAATTCTCTCTCTCTCTCTCTCTCTCTCTCTCTCTCTCTCTCTCTCTCTCTCTCTCTCTCTCTCTCTCTGATCTGTCTGCAATTTTTTTGGTCTACCCAATTATTGATTTTTTTTTTGCGACTCAATATTTTTTCTATTTTTATTTTCAAAAAAATCAAACGGTGTAAATACTAAATTAGAATTATTAAAAAACTGATTGAACCGCTCAACAAACTGGATTAAACCCATCAACACATTAGAACTTTAACGAGTTCAGAACCCATGCGTGTTTCATAGGCCGTAACTGAAATAGTAGACTTGAATACCGATTAAAATTCAGTATTTTCTTAAAACATGAACTGGAAGTTCATGAAGCGAAACTGACAATGATGCACTGTAGTCATATTTATATCTCAACACCCACTCAAAATTCCTTTTAAAACAATATTTCAAAATCAAAACAAAAGATAAAAATCAAAACTTCTTTTTTTTTTTTTTTATATACAGACGCACATGTTTTGGCTCTCACATCGACAATCTTATTTCCAAGTTGACAAGGTGACGGAAAATGATACATATTAGTTTGTACTAATATCAAAATATTATTAATTGACAGGCGCTAAACCAGATGAAATATGCAATCTTCAGAAACTAGAGTACTTGGATGCGGGATTGTTAGCCTTAAATGGCCCCAAACCAAATGGGATTTTTAATATTTCAACATTGGTTACGGTTACAATGCCAGTAAATCAGCTCACAGGAAACCTTCCTACAAATATCGGTTATCTATGGTCTAACTTAGAACGACTTGAGCTTAGTTCAAATAACATTAGTGGAGTGATACCCGTTTCAATTGGAAATTGCTCGAGCCTGACCGAATCATCTCTTGTTTACAACCAATTTAAGGGCCCAACATCATTAGAAGATTTCTTTACTTCCTTGACAAAGTGCAAATTTTTGGAAGAACTAGCACTAGATGATAACCCCCTCAACGGGGTCCTCCCGAACTCGATTGGAGATCTTTCTACCTATCTTCAGTATTTTGAAGCATCAATGACAAATATCAAAGGATTTATACATAGTGAAATCGGCAATCTAAGCAGTTTAATCTTATTTTCTCTAGAGGGCACCCAGTTGATAGGAGTTATTCAAGGACAATGCAAAATTTTAAAAAAACTACAAGCATTGTATCTTGTGCAAAACAAGCTTAGAGGAACTCTGAATGAACTATGCAACATGCACAGTTTAAGCGAATTATCTCTTAGCAGGAATAAAATTATTGGGCTGATACCAGATTGTTTCAGCAATATGACTTCTACGAGAAATCTTAACCTTAGTTACAACTTATTGACCTCAAGTATCCCTAGAAGCATTGGGGATCTAATGGATCTTGGGGTTCTCTACCTAGCCTCAAATTCATTCAGTGGATCCATACCTTTAGAGATGGAAAACTTAAAGGCTATTATAGCAATGGACTTGTCCTCAAATAGAATATCAGGGACCATACCAAGCATGATTGGTAGTTTACAGAACCTACAAAACCTTTCCTTAGCTAACAACATACTGGAGGGCTCTATACCAGAATCATTTGGGAAAATGTTGAGTTTAGTATGTCTTAATTTGTCACATAATAACCTCTCAGGTTTGATCCCTAAATCCTTGGAGGTGCTTCTATCTCTCAAGTATTTTGATGTTTCTTCCAACCATTTAAATGGTGAAATTCCTTCTTGTGGTCCTTTCAGAAATATCACAAGGGACTCATTCATTAACAATGATGCACTATGTGGAGATCCTAAATCTCAGGCCCCTTTATGCCCATCTATTAAAAACACAAAATTTTTTCGAAGAAAGTATTTCTACTCATATTAACACCCGTAGTGATTGTTGTTTTGGCACTCCTTGCTTTCACATATATTTTTTTGAGATGTCAAAGAAAACTCAATGTTCCAAGTATAAAAGATGTCAATGTAGCGCCCACAAAAGAAAGAATATCCTATTATGACTTTTACAGGCAACAAATAGGTACAACGAGAGTAACTTTCTTGGATAAAGGAGTTTTGGATCCGTTTATAAAGGTGTTCTTAGTGATGGAAAGGTTGTGGCTGTCAAAGTATTTAATTTACAGTTTGAGGGATCATTAAAGAGTTTTGATGTTGAATGTCAAGTATTATGCAACCTTCGCCATCGAAATTTAATCAAAGTCATCAGTAGTTGCTCCAATCAGGATTTTAAGGCTTTGGTGTTGGAATATATGCCAAATGCCAACCTTGAAACATGGCTGCACTCCGATCATCTATTCTTGGATGTACGACAACGGTTAAACATAATGATCGATGCGGCATGCGCTTTGCAATATCTTCATCAAGAATATACAACAGCTGTAATTCAATGTGATTTAAAGCCAAGCAATATCCTCATCGATGAAGACTTTGTAGCCTATGTGAGCGATTTCAGAATTACTAAGCTTTTTTGCAAAGACGAAAGCACAACATTTACTGATACATTTGCTACAACTGGCTACATTGCACCAGGTAATAATATTGATTCTATATATTTTTTTCGTTTGATTTTAATTTATTAATTATCAAGACAAATTTTTGTTGATTTTAAGAATTTTTATATGAAGAATATGGAACGGAAGGACTGATATCAAAAGCATGCGATGTCTTCAACTATGGAATCCTTTCAATGGAAGTGTTCATAGGCTCGAAGAAGGCCAAATGATGAATTGTTTAGTGATAATCTAAGCTTAAAGAGTTGGGTTGCTAATTCTATGTCCGATTTAATCAGCCAAGTCATTGATCTAAAATTGTTTACGGAGGGTCATGATCATTCTAGTTCCAATAAAATATTAGGGTCGTGTCATTGATCTTCAAACTAGCCCTAAATTGTGTTCACGAATCTCCCAATTAGAGGTTTACTATGAGTGAAGTTGCTGATTCACTCCACAAGATTAGAAAAAGTTATGTTGTGTCTCATGGAAGTAAACAGAATAGAATGTAACTTTTTTAAAAAAAACCAATGAAGGATTTATTACTTCACAATGTCTAAAAATATGTAGGTTATTTCTTGTTTTATTTTTTCAATAAAACCTTTCTTATTCAAGTTCAACTTTTATACACATTTACCGAAGTAACCTTGCTATATTATGGTTAAACTGAGATTAAAATGTAGTTTTGTTAATGTAAAATTAAAACAAAATGCAAATGAATATATATTTCCACACAAATATCTAGATGGAAATTTTTAGGATATTCTGGCCGTCCTCACAAAAAAACATGAGGAATATGTATATACTAGTGCTTAGAATTTCAATGAATAATTTCGTGTATTAATTTTTATTTTTGTAGAAATTTGGTTAGGATTTAATTTTGGTGTTGTAAAAATAACTATTTAATACTTAACTACACATTGTGATAATATTAAATTATTGCCATTACAATTGTCTAATATTAGTACAAACCTTCGATCTTAACGTGGACTATGGTTTTTGGTCAGATAAGTGCTTCTACTGTACTAAAAATGATATATCAAAGGTGTTATGCCTAGTGAAATCGGTAATCTAAGCAATCTATTCTTATTTCCTTAGAGGGTGCCCGATTGACTGGAGCTATTCCAAGCACAATCCAAAAATTAAAAAAGTTACAAGTATTGTATTCTGCACCAAGAAATCTAGGAGGAACTTTTAATGAACTACGCAACATGAACAGTTTAAGTGAATTGTCTCTCAGTGGGAATAATGTTTCAATTGTAATAACTGATTGTTTAAACAGTATGACTTCTATGAGAAATTGTAACCTTAGTTACAACTTATTGACCTCAAGTATTCCAACAAGTATTGGGGATCTGGTAAATCTCAGAGTTCTTGACTTAGCCTCAAATTCCTTTAGTGGATCCATACCTCTAGTGATTGGAAACTTCAAGGCTGCTATAGCAATAGACTTCTCCTCAAATAAGTTATCAGAGACCATACGAAGCATGATTGATAGTTTACAGAACTTACAAATTAGACCTCTTTAGCTAACAACCTACTAGAGGGCTATATCAGAATCATTCGGAAATTGCTGAGTTTGACATCTCTTAACTTGTCACATAATAACCTCTCAGGTTTGATCCCGAAATCTTTGGAGGTGTTTCAATATCTCAAGTATTTTGATGTTTCTTTAACCATTTAACCTGTAAAATTCCTTCTAGTCTCATTTAGAAATTTCTCAAATGACTTATTTATGGACAATGATGCACTTTGTGGAGATCCTAAATTTCAGGTCCCTTTATGTTAAGCTATGATAAGAGGGAACCAACTGGAAAAATGGTAGCATTTGAATCCGCAAGGAGGTTATTCCATAAATCTGAATCAAAGGCTCACTAGGACAAGTTCTAGAAAGTGGAAAAGAGGTCGGGCTAATTAGGTTTCATCATGGTGAAAATTTAATGGGAAAAAAAACCATGTTCTATTTTTTCTCCGGCTCTATTGGAGTTCCAGATTTGTTGGTATCCCTTCATGCCAACCTATGATCAGAGGGAACAAATTCAAAAAATGTTAGCATTTGAATCTGCAAGGAAGGTATTTGATAAATCCTTATCAAAGGCTGGTTGGGATAAGTTCTAGACAGTGGAAAAGAGGTTAGTCTAATTAGGTTTCATCATGGTAAAAGTTTAATTGGGAAAAAAACCTGTGTTTTACATTTTTCCGGCTCTATGGTAGTTCCAGATTTGTTGGTCTCTGTTCTACTTTGATGAATGCTGCTTTTGAATTTAATAGGCATGCTTTAATTGAATTTCAGAATGATAGATTCAACATATTTGAATCCAAGTAGTGTTTTAAATTATGATGCTTGGGAGTGTTGATGTGAGATTGAATGTATAGATCTTGTTTTGTTTTCACTTTAAAGATTTTGGAAATAACACATCAAGGATTTTAAATAAAGAACGAAAGGAATTAATTGCTTCAAGAGAAATGTGACAAATCACATCAATTGTTTTTGGAAACTCATTGGTGGAATGGATCATAGATAAAAATTTCTTGTTTGATAAGAAAATGTTTCAATTGATTTGGAGGAGAGAAGAATGACTAAGTGTAAGCTGGAGGAGAGAGATCGACAATGGCTTTCAAAAGAAGCTTTACTTTGTTTTCTCAGAAGTGGGGTGTGGGGCTTCCACTTATTTTACTAGTTACCATACGACCAATTGGGGTTTCATTAAAAGTTTTTCTTTGAGTATATCATTTTTTTTTAATTTGATTGTTTGTATTATATCTTAAACCATCGATTAAAACATAGTAAATTCATAGTGACAAAATAAATAATAATATTTTCTTATTATTTTATTCTTGCATCATTTAGTTACCTATAAAATTTTGATAAAATTATTAAAGAAAATTTGTTTTCTTTGACTTAATTTACTGCAATTGGATCCTCGCACGAGGAATATACATGGAACTACGGGAAAGTTCTTTAAATCCTCTTTGAACAAAAATAAGTGAAAGATACTTGTCCCACATACACAGATGGAGACACTTATAACCAACATATAAATCTCATGTACAACTCCTCTCATTGTCAATTAGTTTTGAGATAAACCACATGCGGGCTTATATTTAAACCTTCAAGATGATATCCGAATGGTTTATAATTCTGTAGACTTGTGGGTGAATTTTGACCGACCTGACAATTTATCCGGGTGACAACTCGAAATGGGCCTCCAAATAAACTAAACCCAAAATGTGCCTTCAAATAGCCAAACTTGTATTGGACTTTGAAATAAATTTACAAACCAAAATAGGTTCTAAAAAAAGTTTCAATGATTCAAAGGATCTTGTCCAACTCCTTTGATTTGAGAAGGGGTGTTAAATTCTCCTTTGAACAAAAACAAGTAAAAGACAATTGTCCCACATAAAAAGATAGAGACACTTGAAATTAACATATAAATCTCATGTGCTACTCCCCTCAACCACATAAAAGCTTATATTTAGGCTTTCAAGAAGGTTGCAAAAAGAAAATCCTAACCATTAGTAAATAAATAAATAAAATTCAAAGGATATTTAAGCAAATTAATTGAAGCAATCACAATTTAGGAACTGGACAAATAGCAACTCCGATCCAATATGGAAGAAAATAGGGGGAATCAAGAGTTATAATGGAAACGAGAAAATCAATTTATGTACTATATTTTATTTTCTACTGTCCTTATCATAAAGGCATTTTTTTTTAAAAGTCCTATTTATAACTTATTTGATGTTTTCTAAGTTTGATCTTCCAATTTATTCCTTTGTTAACTAAATAATACTATTCTCTTTTGATTATAAAGTTCAATTTTGTCTTTTTAACAATCACTATCTCATTTCACTATAGTTCAGATTATTGGCCCACAGTGATTGTTAAAAAAACAAAAACACCAACTCCACTAAACATGTGTAGTTATTAATTAAGAGTAAACATGTAATTTTAGGGTAAAAATAAAATTTTCAATGGGAAAGTAAGAAAAAAATGGGAGATCATAATATTCCACGTCGGTCACTATTTTTTTATTATTTTTTGTCACAAATACTTATCATTTTTCTTTTTCTTATTTAAATAATAAAAAGTGATATATTTGTGAATAAAAATAGTGACAAAACATAGTTAATGATGTGGACTAATCATGGCCCCTAGTTTTTTTTGCCACTTTCCTGTTGAAATTTTTTTCCCTCAAAATTACATTTTTCTCTTAGTTAATAAATAAACATGTTTAGTAAGTGTGTGGTTTATTTGTCTTTTCATTTGTAACTATCCAATTTCACTATAATTTTTCACTATCTATATCATTGTTCATAATGATTTACTCTCTGTGTTCTAAAAATAATACTCGTTCACATTGTAATTTGATAAACATATTGTTTTTATAAAATCACAATTTCTGATATGACAATTTTTCGGACGGAACATCAAAATTCCTTCTTGAAGAGCTCTATTTCATCAATTTTGTAGTGATTTCAAATCTGCTTTAAATGACTGGGACAAGGAAAAGGAACACACGAACCCAACTTGGTTCTTGTTGCTACCATTGTATGAAATATAGCCACAAAAAACTAGTCCTACTGAATATCAGGATTTCTTTAGACACGTTCTTGAATTTATTTTAGAGTTCCTATGTGCTTTTGATTTTATTTTATTTTATTTTTTGCCCTCTATAATTTGTCAACCAGCTGTTTAATTGTGTGATGCATTGTCACTAAACCAAAGCAACAATTGCAATAATTGGGACTTTGGGAGGAATAATTCGTCCCTTATGATCACCGAAGGGACGTGGGATTTTTTCTCAAGTATTGAAGGCAAGAAAAGGAAGGGAAGATGGTGATGTTGGGTCCCTGTTTGTCCTATGATGTTTCTAGGACATGATAATCAGATATGAGGTTATGAATTGATGCTGGCTTTTGAGTCATCCTGATAACTTTTTAGTCATAGGGAGAAATATTCAGTTCCTGAAGCTGTATCAAGACTCGCAGAAATGTGAAAATTAAGGTATGAAAACTCTAATTCCTACCCTCCATTAAATGATTTCAAGCTTGAATTTTGCTTAACTTTGATTCTGAATTTTGTCAAGAATGATATAGTAGTACTAATGTATGATTGATCACTTTTGTTGCATCTGAAAAACCATCTGTTTGTTCTGTTTTCTGTCTTTCTTTTTTCAATAGGAGGACTTAACCTTGAAACTTTGGTCGGCTGCGAACAATCTGAAAGTGTTTGAGAGATATGGAAATGAAGAACTGTGTTTCGCAGTCTGCCTTAGATGTTATGGAATCAATACACTCCAAAGTTCCCGATTTCAAATCAGCTTCATTAGGGGAGCTGAATGTGATGTTGAGATTTCTGAGAACGTTTCAGATGTGTGGAAGGAAGTGGCGAAATGATTCGCGCTGTGAATCCACCTTGCTTACCGTTGAGAATACTATTGACAAACATCTTCTTGAAATTCAGTCTATTAGGCTCGGATTGAGAGCTGACGAAAATGATGACGATGATGATCGAAAGACAAATGATCCGAAGTTGGATTGTTTTGACAAAGGGATTTCTGAATTTCTTCGCAGCATCCAGCAGCAGTCTTTTCTTGTACAAATGGTGAATTTGTATCGGGTTTTCTCGAATGGCAGCACACTACAAACTAGCTCTTCTTCTTCTTCTTCTTCTTCTTCTTCTTCTTCTTCTCAGGAAGTTGAAGAGCTCGTAAATATCATGGATTCCATTCTTGACAATTTGCGAGATCTTCTGCAATTCAAGACGTATGAGTCTTCAGAGTTTGAGTCCTATGTTGCTGAAGCACATGAGGACCTTGAAGAAAATGTAAGATTCTTGAAGAATTTCATTCTTTTCGCTATGTCGTGTGTAGGACTTGGGCATAAGGAGATGGAAGATTTGTTAACTCATGCTGAAGGCTTGGTTGCCAGCGCGGCACGCCTAAATTTCATGTCCTGGTGCATCTACTGTCCTAAGACGCACAACAGCTTTTCCTGGTATGACAACTATCCGGGGACCAACGGTGATATTTCCTCGCTGATAGATCAAATCAAGCCTATCAAATCCCATGTTTTTGGGATCTATGTTGGAGTCCTTCAAGCTTCAAAGTTGTCACTGGGATCATCTCCACGAAGCCATACACTTAACATGTTGGCGGACTTTGTCGATTCTCTTCTTGTTCTTGCTTGGGATCGATTATTTTGCCATCATCGCTACACAGGCATCTTGGACAATGAAGTGCAAAGAGTTTATGAGGTACTGAGATACTTGAGAACCTTTTTACTGGAGAACCGAAATCAGCTTGTGGAACAATATAAAGTAAGGTATGACCTCATTGGAATTGTAATTTCTGAAGCAGGTATAATTGTTTGCTATCTTTTCAGAAAGGAATTCGAATCACGCCTGGAGAAAAAAATTGGGGTTCTGGTTTTAGATTTAGAAGAAAAGTTTAAGCTTATCAAGCCAGAGGAAGAGACACTGATATATCTTCAAATGTCAGCATCCAGTTTACCTCAAACCAACCTGCCGGCGTTTGTTCATTCTGTCTTGGCAAGACTCGAGCCATTCACTCAATCTCAAAACAACAGGCCAGGGTTTGTTCATTCTGCCTTGGCAAAACTCGAGGCATTCGGTCAATCTCAAACCAAAATGCCACGGTTTGTTCATTCTGGCTTGGCAAGACTCGAGGCATTCAGTCGAAATAAGCGAGGTTCAGTTGCTTCGGCAAAAGCTAAGCTTCAAACCGTACATGATGATCTTGCATTTTTAAGATCTTTTCTGCCTGATGATTTTTTGCAGTATGACCAAGATGCGAAGCTTCAAGATCTTTGGAGTCGCTTTGCTGCTGTAGCTTATGATACAGAGTTCATCCTCGATTCTTTAGTTGCTGGAAATACTGTTCAGAGTTTAATCCCGCTGCTTAATACCGTTTTAGAAGAGATAAAGCTTATGAAAGCCGAAGTCTTGGAAAATTCTCATGGAAAAAGGCAGATCACCAACGTTCATGATGTTACTAAACCTTTTGGTAAGAGGCCATTGACAGGTGAGATGCCAATATCAGATGATCCTGTGGTAGGATTAGACGATGAGGCACAAAAGATAATTGATCGACTCAAAAGAGGAACGCGACAGTTAGACGTTGTTTCCATTGCGGGAATGCCTGGATTAGGCAAAACAACGTTGGGAAGAAAAGTTTATTGCGATCCCTCTGTCGTTTTTTACTTCTATGTTCGTTCGTGGTCTCCTGTTTCTCAAGAATACAATAAAAGAAATCTGTTTCTTGAGATCTTGGGTGGTTTCGTTAGTATTCTTGACAAACACTTGGCGATGAATGAAAATGATCTGGCCGAGGAGCTCTACAAAAGTTTGAAGGGAAAAAGGTATCTCATTGTATTGGATGATATTTGGGATATTGATGTGTGGAATAGTTTGAGAACTTCATTCCCAAATGATGTTAATGGAAGTAGAATTTTGTTGACGACTCGGCATCATAATTTGGCTTTGCAAATCAAATCAGATAGTGAACCTCACTGTCTTCGTCTGCTCACCAATGACGAGAGTTGGGAACTACTGAGAAAGAGGATCAAGTTTGAAGAAGACTGTTGTCCAAAACTACTTGCTCTTGGAATGGAAATTGCACACCATTGCAAGGGATTGCCGCTGATGATTTTAATTGTTGCGGGAATTCTCTCAAATATGGGTCCAGATACTTGGGAAGAAGTAGCAAGAAGTTTAAGACAAGGCGCCATATCTATCACAGAACAATGCAGGGAGACCTTAGAGTTGAGTTATCGTTATCTGCCGGATCATCTGAAGTCATGCTTTCTTTATTTTGGAGCATTTCAAGAGGACCAAAAGCTACCTGTTCGAAAACTGTTATGGCTTTGGATTGCCGAGGGATTTGTGCAGAAAACTGAGAAGGATGGGTTAGAGGACGTAGTAAAGGGATACTTGATGGAGCTGATTCAAAGAAGTTTGGTCATGGTTGTTGAAAAAGGATCCCGTGGCAGGATCAAATCATGCGTCCTTCATGACATATTGCTCGACTTCTGCAAGGCTAAATGCGATGAGGAACACTTCCTTCGTTGCTTACATGGCGTCCATGAGCTACATACTTCCACTGAGCCTTGCATATTAAATGATTATAGGCTGCATGTTTACTCAAGGAGAGATGATTCTGCTAACTCAAGGCTGCTCTGTCCTCGTGTACGCAGTCTATTCTTTAGTGCTGATTATGAACGTAGGCACGCGCGCCATCGGTACGACATCTTTTGCAGATTTTGCGAATCCAAACTTCTTAGAGTTGTGGACTTGAGAATCCATGCCGGGCAATTCTTTCCGCGAGTAATTGAGCAACTTGTCCATTTGAGATACTTGGCTTTGGCCACTGAAGGATCACTTACCATCCCGTCATCAGTTGATAATCTTTTAAATTTGGAGGCATTTATTGTAGAAGGAAGAAATGTAAAAGTTTGGCTTCCAGATACCATTTGGAACATGAAAAATTTAAGGCATCTTGTGTGCATAAATGGTTCATTTGGTGATCTGAAGTTGCCAAGAGGTAATCTCAAATTTTCCCCTTGTTTGGAGAACTTAGAAACTCTTTCCTCCATAACGTTTACTTCAAGAGAAACAATGGAGGACAACTTGAGAAGGTTTCCGAATATTCGCAGACTCAAATGCCATCTCATTACGTCAGATAAGTGCACTGGGGAGTGCAAGATTCTTGCACTGGATTTCATGAGTCAACTAGAATCGGTCTCCCTCTCTCAACGTTTCGAGACACCTCATAACTGCCATTTACAATTTCCCAAGAACCTGAAGAAGCTAGTTCTGTCAAATTTCAATCTTCCCTGGAGTAAAATTTCAGCAATTGATGAACTGCCAGTTCTCGAGGTTCTCAAGTTACTGGACAATGCATATAAAGGGAAAACATGGGACATGGAAGAAGGGAAATTCCCCAAACTCAGGTTTCTAAAGTTGGTGAACTTAGATTTTGCAAGGTGGACAGGAGACTCAGATGATAACTTTCCCTGTCTAGAGAAAGTAGTGCTGGAGGCGTGCCGACACTTGAATGAAGTACCGTCCTGTTTAGCCTATATTTCGACGCTCCAAATGATTGAAGTGTCTGATTGTAAATCCGTAGCTAGTTCAATAAAACAAATTCAAGAAGAACAGATGGATATGGGAAACGAGGATCTGAAGGTCATCATTAACCTTCCTCCGAGCGTTTTTTCATTGGTTGAAGAGCTTGTATAATAAGGCCTATGTTCTTTTCTTATGCTCTTTTTCAGTATCTTGTTTACTGAACCATCAAGTCTATGTTGTAAATCTGCCTTAATGGTAGAAATGATTGTATGTGATCTGAGTAATTATTGTTATATGCCATATCATTCAACAAGTTCAGAAAGATATAGTATTAAGCACTACAAGCCTACAAGTAGTCATGTACCATAATTCCACGTTAGGTACTGACGATGATTGGATATGTGCCGTCGATTTAGCAGTGGAACTCCGATTAGGATTACCTGCAAAACAAGGCCTCGGGGTCTCCCGAGGGTAGACACTCCGATGCTTAAGTCAGTGAAAATGGTTACCAGAAAGTTTGGGAAGGTAGTTTGTTCGGCTATAGATTGCGTACCTGAATTGTGGTATGAGCTACCCTATTTATAGGTATGAGATTACCTGGTAAATTCCCGAATCCAACTAGGTTTCAGGAATTTACACCGCCCTAAGAGTTTCGGTTGGACTCTTCCTGTGGTTGGTGGGCCGGTACAGTCTCGGTGATGGATCTGGACTCGTCAAGTGCCCCTGCCAAGTTTTAGTGACGTAGAAACAAACAACGCTTGGCATAAAATAAGCATTACCTGGGACATACACGAGAATGGACAGACCACCCTCGTTCAGCTAATTGTCGAGGCACATGCTCAACGAGCTCGATGCTAACGCATGACTCTCGACCTCGGAGGATTGAGAGGAACCGGTGGGTCAGGTCGTGACCCGGGAAGACGACCCGCTTCCCAATCCCACTCAAATTTTCAATTGTGCGTTATTAGTGGGCACGTTTCCCAAACGGCGGCCTCAACATCATTACTTCCTTGAAACCCGCAATAACTGTTAAATCGTGGTCCATAATTAGGGAAACGTGGGAGAATCAACTTTGCTTTTAAAAGAGAAAACTCTACCGTCCCTGGACACTTAATCACTTTCCTTCTTTGCAAAAACACAAGATCCTCTCCTTTGCAAAAGTATTCCAGCCCCCATTCTGCTCTTCTCTACCAGAGCATCCTAATTCTTTTTTCGGTCGGAATTTTCAAGATTTTACCTGATATACTGCCCCGGCGACGCTGCTTCTAGGGGAGTTGCAAATTGAAGCTTCTGAACAACACTGGGGAGTTATAATTCGAAAAGCGAGTGGTCACGTCCCCCTTACATAGTAAGTTTCTAAATCTGAATCTCCGATTTGTTCCGTTTCCTTTTCTGTTGTAGCCAGAGCAGATCCTCGCCGGAATTATGGTTAGGAATTCCGAAGGAAAAACCGTTCTGGACTTTGTATCCACCATAGATTCGGTGGATAAGGTAGAGAGTCTTAGATCCAAGTATGACTTCCCCTCAGGCCTTAGCCCTAGAGGCGAGAGCTCCATTAGGAAACGAGAGGGCTAACTCTCCAAGGGGAAGAATTACTGTGTATGATCGATTTATGCATCTAGGGCTTAGATTTCCCCTCTACTCCCTGTTTGAGGAGATTGTTCAACACTATAGGACTCCTCTCGCTCGTTTTACCCCAAATTTAATTACATTTGTACTGAGATTTGCGAGAGTGTGCCAACATGTAAAAGTAGTACCTCGATTGATATTGTGGAGGTATTTTTTCTAAGTAGTTGTGGCCTCGACTTCTTTCCAGGATTGGTATATAGTAAAAAGACGCCTTAGAACTGGCGTGAAGAAGATGGTTGAGGCGTATGACAGTTCTCCGGAATGGAAACCGGACTTTGTGTTTGTGAAGGCACCTGCGAGTTATTGTCCGCCATAGAATCTCCGAGAGACAGAGGGTCTCGGGGCCATAAAAGATGAATGGACCCAAGAGGATGAAGAGTGTGCCGAGGAGTTCTAGGCAGATGTGGAGAAAATTCTAAAATATTCGAAGGTCGTTAAGTGGAACGGCGTTCAATACTATGTGCTCCCTGCATATGCGAAGGAAGGTGATACAGTCATCGCCGAGGGAGCAACCAGAATTCCCCTCGAAATCTCTGTTGAAGAAGATCAAGGTACTAATCGTTTTCTTTTTTTTTTCTTTGTTGTTAGGTCATGTCATCAAGCAATGCTGGGTCTCGATTGTTTGGTGACGAAGATCCTTTTGTCATTGTGAATTCAGATGAGGATGTTACTGTTACTGCCGCCCCTCAGAAGAAAAAGAAGAAAAGGATCGTGAAGATGGGCGATAGGGCAAAATCCAAGAAAGCCAAGACAGACGCGCCCTCGAAGGAAACCACACAGCCGGACATCGAGATGGTGCCCCTTGCCACCGAGTCTGTTCAGAAACCTGTGCCGGAAGCAGGGCCAAGCATAGTTCCTCCTGCGGGCGAAAAAGGCAAGGGCCCTCTCGAGGGTGAAGCAATAATCTTGCTCCCTCAGCTGTTCGAGGGTGGTCCGTTCGTAGCGTCCATACGTTTAGCAACCCACCGTCGATCAAATGTCCTGTTCTCGAGGAGTTCGCTACTCAGCTGAACGAGGCTGACAGTTTGAGACTGGTAAGTCATTTTCCGGATTAGGTCGTAAATGCATATGTATATCAATGTGTTCCTGATATTATATGTTGGTATAGATAAGTGCGGCCTCGACGGCCTATCTAGTGCAGCTAAGGAAATTTCGAGAAGACCTGGCTACAGCTCGGGCGGAAAGGGATGAGGTGTTGTTCGAGGTGGTTACTCTCGAAGAGAAAGAACGCCAGGTACAAGTTAAGGAGGCCGAGATCGTCGAGGTGCAGGTTAAATACAACGAGCTCGAGGAGAAGATGAGGTTGTTTGCCAGCCTGCAAATCTCCAAGGAGGAACTACATCAGTGGTGTACTGCCTTTATGAGCAAAATGATTTGTACAGGAGGGATGGCGGTAGCCCTCGAGGAGATGAACTTGGTTGCCCCCAAGTGTGGTGCGTACCGAGTCGGCGTGGTAGGGTTGAAGAGACTCGACCAGGACAGGCCAATCAAGGCCAAATGGTTCAAGCAGCTCCTGCTGAAGGATCCGAAGAAAACCATGCACGAAGCCATGGTAAAGGTCTTGACAAGGTTGAGCCTCGAGCAGCTTCCTCTGTGGGGAGCTTTAACTGGCGCCATGGCAAAAATGAGTTCTCCTGCAGAGATTACCTCATTTCCGGGCGATGTTCCTGCTGTCCTGGCCAAGGGTCCAAGTGAGGAAGACCCTATACCCGAGGTACCTGACGAATATATGGGTATTGAGCTCGAGGACACCGACGAGGAAACCGAGGAGGACGTTGCTGATACTAGCCACTCCGGAGTTCAGAGAACCATCGAGGACGCCTCCCAGGCCCCTTCCAAGGACCCTTCCAATGACCCCCTCCAAGGCAGTGACGCTGTATGAATCCTGTCCTCTGTAATAGTTGCTAGGCCATTCAAACCATTTCTTTTCGTTGTAATGAACTAATTTTCTTTTTCACGGATTTATGCAAACATCTCTTTTCCTTCCCTTTCTTTGTCCTCTGTGTTCTTTCTATTTGGTTTTACGTGAGTGCCTTATACTCCTCTGGTGAAACAGGAAAGTTGGACCGTTCACCGCGTTCACCACATGGTGTTGTCAGAGGAGCAATCAAGGGAGTTCCCATTATATTCTATGATTAGCGGGATTCTGAGAAGTCGTGCTGATGTGCACAGCCTTGAGATGGTAGCGCATTTGGAGAACGACCTGCTCGATGCCATGAGGACTCACAATGTAAAGGTTAACCAGCATCTGATAAATGAGATTAAAGGACTCCGCGAGGAGATGCAGCGTCGAGAGGTTCAAAGCCTGAAAGACCACAGTGACTCTCTGACTTTTGAGGTCGAGATCCATGATGAGCTGGTGACCTTGGAGAAGGAAAATGCTCGGCTTAGGGCCAGACAGCAGATTACTGTGTCTCCCTGGTTTCTCGAGAAGCACCAGGTATTAGCTCTCCAGCACATGATTATGGTCAGGACTCGCCGTTTCATCGCAGCCATGGATATATTGAAAGAGAGATCTCGTGAGATCGAGCTTCTTACAGATTATATTGCCCAACTACAAAATCTTCTACTGGACAACAATATCAACTTTGAGGCTTTTGAGCATCCGGAGGAAACTGTGGATCATCGAACTCGGAGTTCTCGAGAGGAGCTGTTGATGAGGGTGCACGCTCAGGACATAGAGATCGTGGACCTTAAGGATAAATTGAATCAGTGTGTGAATCTCCTTAGCCTGCATGGGTATGAGGGGATTATTCATCCCTCCCCTGACAATCCTGTCAGGGAGGTGCTTGTAATATTGTAGAATGCATGTACTTTTCTGTGAGTTTGCACAGTAGTGTGGAACGAATGTTTATTTTACTCGAGTATTGATTTATAAAGCGCTTTTTAGGCCGGATGTAGAGTACACGGTTCTGTCATAGGAATCGGGTACGAATTCCTTGACTTGACACTACGTTTTGCAATGTGTGTGAGGAAAGTTCCTCGAGTTTGTGTCCGGATGTTGAGCACACGGCTCTTGAGCAGGGATGGCCCTAAAGAGGGAGTCCATCTCGATGACTAGTCGTGAATGCATTGCTATTAATGAAAAGAATATGTAATGTCTTTTATTGAATAGTTTTCCGAGGACCCTGGTTAGCATTACATATGAGAGTATAAAACTGACTGGATAAATAAAGCAAGTAAAACACATAATGGGCAAATAGCGGACAAAGACTCAAACATAGAACCTGCGAAGATTATGAATGTTCCACCATCGAGGAAGAATGGTTCCGCTATCATCCATGGCCTGTAGGCGGTAGCAGCCTGCTGGGGAAGTCTGGATAACCTTGTAAGGCCCTTCTTAATTTGCAGTGAGTTTTCCAGGGGCTTCTGCTCGACTGGCCTCGTTTTTCCTCAGTACGAGATCACCCACAGCGAGATCCGCGGCTTTTACCTTCTTGTTATAATGTCTGTGAAGAATCTCTTTATACTTGGCTTCTCAGATTCTGACGGCGTCTCGACGTTCCTCGAGCAGGTCAAGGTTTAGCTGGATGTCATCATCATTAGTACTTTCGACAAAGTTTATGGTTCGAGGACTCGACAGACTGATCTCGACTGGGAGGACGGCGTCCATACCGTAGACTAAGCTATACGGTGTCTCGTCGGTCGAGGAGTGGGCAGTTGTTCGGTATGACCACAGGACGTGAGGAAGTTCGTCGGCCCATGCCCCCTTGGCGTCATACAGCCTGGTCTTGATTCCATGCAGTATTGTTCTGTTGATGGATTCAGCCTGCCCATTGGCCTGGGGATTGAGAAGTAGCATTCGATCTGCATTTCATCGCACCATGACTTGAAAGTATTGCTCTCGAACTGGGTCCCATTGTCGGAGACGATAACCTTCGGGATCCCAAAACGGCATACTATGTTCTGCCAGAAAAAATTCAAGACTTTTCTCCCTGTGATCGAGGCCAAAAGTTTGGCTTCTACCCATTTAGTGAAGTAATCTACTGCTACAATGACCCATCTTACTCCTCCTACTCCTTTCGGATGAAAGGGGCTGATGATATCGGTGCCCCATTGGTAGAATGGCCAAGGGCTTTGGATGGTGACCATCTCGTGTTGTGGCTGTCGGGTGATGGGAGAGAAGTGTTGACACTTCTCATATTTCTGTACCCATTGGTAGGCATCTTTGAAAATTGTCGGCCAGAAGTATCTTGCTCGCAAGACCTTCTTGGCGAGTGCTCTTGCTCCCATATGAGCTCCACATGATCCTTCGTATACTTCTTCGAGTACGTAGGCTGCTTGCTTTGGACCAATACACCTTAGCATGAGTAGTAGGTATCCATGCTTGTACGGGATGCCGTCTCGAATGTATATTTGACTGCCTTTAGTCGGATGGTTCTGGCTTCTGCTTTTTCGCTTGGCAACGTACCATCTGTAAGGTATTGGATAAACGGGGTCATCCAAGTGTCGCCGTCCTCGACGATGGTCGCTACGGGGGCTTCCTGGATGCTAGCATTGGGGAGAATCTCGACCCACACTTTGTGGCTAAGGTGTGCAAAATTCGAGGAGGCTAGCTTGCTGAGGGCGTCGGCTCTTTTATTTTTTGAGCGAACTAAGAGGCACACGGTGCATTCCTCGAACTTGTCCTTGATGTTGATGACCTTCTCGAGGTAGCGCTTGAGTTGCTCGTCGTTTGCTATGTATTCTCCCAATATTTGTTTCACCACTACTTGAGAATCACTGAAAACTTGGATTTTGCAGACCCCGAGTTTTAGTGCCATGTTTAGCCCTACTATCAGTGCCTCGTATTCTGCTACATTGTTGGTGACCAAGAAACCAAACCTCAGCGTGTATGTATATTCTGCGTCATACTCCTTCATGCTCTCGATGTCCGGATCAGCCGGGGGTTTGGATAATATGATGCCGGCTCCTCCCCCTTCATCGCAACGAGATCCGTCGACGTATAGTGACCAGGCTCGAGGGTTGATGTTGACGTTAGTATTGGATCATCTTTAGGCTCTGCCGTTTCTTTGGCTTCGATAGCTCGAGGTGTTTCTACTAAGAAATCTGCAAAGGCTTGTCCGTTGATGGCTGATCGAGGCTTGTATTCGATGTGGTGCTCGCCTAATTCGACTGCCCATTTCATCATCCTGCCGGACGCTTCTAGTTTTAGTATGACTTGCTGAATTGGTTGTTCCGTTAAAACCATGATGGGGTGTGCTTGAAAGTATGGGCGCAGACATCATGCGGCTAAGACTAGGCTGAGGATAAGCCTTTCCATGGGTGTGTAACGGGTTTCCGCTCCTTGCAGGACTTTGCTAACGAAATAGACGGGAACTTCTCTATCGTCTTTGCGCTGCACGAGCACCGCCAAGACAGCTTTCTCTCAAGCTGCCAAGTAAATATATAGTGTTTCTCCTGGCTCAGGCTTGGCTAGTGTGGGCAACTGCTTGAGGTACTCTTTCAGGTCTTGGAAGGCCTTCTGGCATTCTTCATTCCACTCAAATTTTCTACTTTTGCGGAGGGTATGGAAAAATGGGAGGCTTCTCTCTGCAGCTCGAGACATGAACCTGTTTAAGGCCGCCAAGGAGCCTGTGAGTTTTTGAACTTCCTTGACGGTTTTTGGAGCTTCCATGGCAATGATAGCCTCGATTTTAGCCGGGTCAACACTTATTCTGTCCTTGGAGACTTGATCTCCTAGGAATTTCCCTGACCCTACACAAAAGGTGCATTTTTTAGGATTTAGCTTCATGTTAATCTTGCGTAATATTGTGAAAATCTCCCGCATATCTGCGGCCACTTGGTCATCCTTATTGGTCTTTATCACCATGTCATCTACGTAAATCTCGATGTTCTGGCCGATTTGGTCATGAAAGGTTCTGTTTACGAGACGCTGGTATGTGGCTCCAGCATTTTTTAGCCCAAAGGGCATCTTGTCGTAGCAGTATACCCCCATCTCGGTGATGTAAGCTGTCTTTTCTGCATCTTCACGTGCCATGAGAATTTGATGATATCCCTTGTATGCATCGAGGAAGCTGAGGACTCTGTATCCGGCAATGCCTTTTACCATTTGGTCTATGACTGGTAGAGGATAGCAGTCCTTGGGGTAATGTTTGTTGAGGTCAGTGTAGTCTTGGCACATGCGCCAAGAGTTGTCGGGTTTTCGAACCAAGACCGGGTTGGCTAACCAAGTAGGCCATATGACTTCTCGGAGTATGTTTGCACGGACTAGCTTAATTGTTTCCTCATTGATGACGTCGTTACGTTCTCGAGCAAATACTCTTTTCTTCTGTAGCACTGGTTTGACGTTTGGATCAACATTTAGCTTATGTTCCATGACTTCTCGAGGTACTCCCGTCATATCCATTGGGGACCAGGCGAATATGTCATGGAATTCGCGCAGCAAGGTGCTGATCTCGGCCAGCAAGGGGTCTTGGAGAGAAACCCCAATCTGAACGGTCTTGGTGGGATCAGTTTCACTTAGGATTAATTCCCGCATCTTGCTGCTGAACGGGGAAAGGCTGGAGATCTCGGGATTTTCCGCCTCTAATGGGTTGACCGTTTGCCGAATTGAATAGCATTCTGACACGGCGGAGCCTGGGTTAAGGTGTGCGGTCTTCTTTCCGATTCTAACTGCAGTGAGCAAGCACTCTCGAGAGCTCCGCTGGCATCCTTTCACTACTCCCACTTCATATTCCGTTGGGAATTTTATTACCAAGTGATAGGGAGACCATATTGCACATGCCTGACACATCCAGGGTCGCCCTAGGATCACGTTGAACGGCGAGGGTGCATCTATTAGGGCGAAATGGTTAAGGTGACCATCCTAGGATGCGACCCTACCGAGATGGGTAAGCTAATTATTCCCGTGGGGATAATGGTGTGACCTGAGAATCCCATCAGTGGCATTGTAGCTGGGCGGATACAAGGGATTTTGATATTCATTTTCTTGAAACAGTCACTATATATGATGTCGACCGCGCTGCCATTATCCACGTAAACCCTTCCAACCTTTACATTTGCGATTATTGCTTCTATGACCATAGCGTCACTGTGGGGACAAATTTCTGGGACCACATCGCTATCCATGAATACAATGGCCTCCGTCCCTTTGAACCTTTTGTGGCTAGGCTCCTGTCGAGGAGTTTTGGTGGCGGTTCGCAATGAGTTTTTCATGGTTGTATTGGATAAGACTTCGAGGAGAGCTCCGTAGATAGCTCCTACCTAGTGAGTGATCAGCTTCGTTGGATCTGCCGGGGGGAGTTGTTGGAGTGGCTGTGGTGCCGCTTCAGTAATGGGATAAGGTTGTTGTTGGACATTAGCTCTCGGTTGCAAATTATTTCCTCGACCATCCCGCCGTGGTGGGCCTCTGAAGCTTCTTTTAGGGTGATCTCGTGACTGAGGTCTGTTATTCTTCTGTCGGGAGGCTGTTCCTTGCACATATTGCAGAAACTTCCCAGACTTGACCCCATTCTCGATTTCACGCTTAAGCTCTCAACAATCCTCCGTGTCGTGGCTGTGATCTTTGTGATACTCACAATATTGTTCAGTTGACCTGTTTGGATTAGGTGCCAAGGGTTTCGGAGCTGGCAATTCGTCCCTATGGATCTGGAGGATTTCTCGTCGGAGCTTGGTTAAGGGTGTTAATTGCCTATCCATCTTGGGCAGTGCCGGTTTGTTTTCCTAGGGGATTCTTGGCTTATCCTTTGGTCCTACCGAGGTGAAGGACTCTTGGGACCTCTTGAGTGTATGTTCTCGTTATATATGATTCTCGACGATGGCCCACATCTCTTGAGCATTCCTAGGGGGTTTGGTCGAGAG